TGCCAACTCGGCTGTTTAATTGCCTAAGCCTTCCCATCGATCGATATATGACATTCTTTCTCGTCCACTGTACCCCGACGCGAATACTTGACCACCTGCATGTACATTCGTGATTCACACACCAACGTAACCCGTTGGTCGCACGAATGACTGCATTGATGTACACACACACACACACACACACACACACACATGCACATACACTACACCAGAACCCACTCATTGTCACCAGTCCCATCGGTCGTCTCTTCTCTTCCATTTGATTGGTTCACTGTCGGTTATCGGATCCTTGTGAGTGTCTCTCTCCCTCTTCATTCTGACCGTTGATCGCGATCGATCTGCACGTGAGGGCAGTCCTTGAGTTGAACACCTTGACAGTCATTGAAGGTTATTTTTGACACAGCAAAACACTGCCTTTCTCTTGGAATGTTGTGATGTAATCCTCAATTTTGTATTTAAGACGCACTATCTTTCGATTGTGCCTTGACAGTGCAAGCTCGCACTCACCGAATTGGCTCACGATTCGAGGTTCGTAAATTTTATTCGCAATCATGTTTGTCACAATAGTACCGCATTTCAAGACAATCTCGTCTTCTGTTGACTTCGGGATTTGCGCGTCACTCGATCGTCTGCTCCGATTATCTCGGTTGATCTACATTATTTCTTGAAATATCCCCATAGATCATTGAAAAGACCATTGAAGCGAAGAATTCTTTTCGATTACTCATTCTCAAGCTTCTACATTAATATATGATCACAAAGTGGCAACAAAAGTCATGATTTACAAAATAAACCGGGGTGGGGGAGGGGGGTTCTATGTATGTCTATCCACCACCCCGAACTGTACAAACAACGGACTTTGGGCGATGAGAGTAAACCAACGAGGTGGTGAGAAGCTCCTGACATACAACGGAGTCATGAGAAACAGGTCACAGAGAGATTAAAGAAATAAGTTGTCTGTCCTCCTACAGGATAGGGCTAAAAGATTACGTAACTGACGGAAGGTATCAAAACGTACGACAGAGAAGCGATAGCCATGGTGTCAATTCTCATTCAGTCAGATTACCTGTAGTAGCGTTCACATACATCAAGTTTATGTAATCTATGTTTACCATGAATGTTAATTTCCGTCGGCATTATAACAGGCCCACTCTCTATCCACTTTGAAAATTCCTCCTCACTTTTGCATATTCTGAATTTGATTTAAACTGGTGTTGATTTCGCTGAAGAGATATGAGTCTCTATGCAGAGAGATATTTCAGTTTCCAACATCATACTTTCATGTTGATAGCCACTGATGAAAACATTATCTCCTATTGCAGTGTTATTACTTCTCTTGTATCAATATTTGGATTTTTGTGATTTTCGGTGTCGCCATAAAAATTTGTAATAGTTTGGCAGTTAATAAAACGTTTGATGACAATTGTTTTGTAAGGATGTTTATCCACTGTTAAAGTGACAACTGTGATCTGGTCACCAAATTACTGGAAACCATGCTTAGGGGACTGATCTGAGGGTTCAAGAATAAACGTGGCCAGTTATGCCATTGATAAAATAAAATACCAAGCAGTGTCAGACCTGGCAGTGGTTTTCATAAATAAGTTCTGTCAACTAAACCGCCACCAATCGTCGTCAAAATCGAGAAATCGCACGTTTATTAACTGTTCCACTGTTGGAAGTTACAATACAGATGGAGATTATTGCATGTATGTTTTGTCTGGTTTTGGTTAATACCATATTCATTTCAATGCATGAGGCCTAAAATGTGAGCCGTCAAAATAGGGAGAGATCTAACGAGGAAAACGATATCGCACAAGTTCGAACAATACCTGTCTTAGAGAGGTTTGTTTCACTGAATTCCACCGTTTGAGAGTGATAATTAAGTCCAAGAGATATTCATAACCTGACTGGAAGCCGATTGTCTTCTACATAAAACTTTTGACATCAATAAGAAAAGCATATACGTTCTCCACTGTCAATGGTCCTTTCACCGCAAAACCTCGGAAGAACAATCTGCATTCGTAATCAATCCTGTTCTTCAACCGCACCTTTCTGTTGTTGTGGTTAATGCGCACCTGATCATCGCAGATAGTTTGCAGATTTCTCTAACTCGATCACCGACTTTGAGAAATACTTAAATTTTGACCTTGTTTTATTAAACTTTAAACGCCGATGACAACAGAATGAATCTAACCGATAATGCAAAGACTGATGGAACAATAGCAGATTGGCAGTTTAGGTCACAGGTTCGCGGCGATCAAGACCAGCAGCAGATAAGTGAGTCGTAAATGAAGAGAAATTAGTTGTGACGGGGAAACAGCCTCGTGTTGTGGCATAGAAGACGTCGATGGAAAAATGTTCACATACCGAGGATTTCAACCGGTTGTCCAACCAAGACCACGGATACCGGCAAAGGCTATGACCGAATAAATGAAAAACAGGTGAACATGTATTCAAATATAGGATAAGATGAAAACATAATAATGCTATTAAAATAGTTGAAACAACCTGATTTCTTGTGAAACTAGATCACTCGAGTGCATCGTATATGCTTCACATACAGAATACCATAAAATGGCTAGATAATTATGATTGGAGACATGCTTGAGACTTTCAGATACCTTCTTGGGAGTGATAGCAAGTCTCATTAATCATCTTACTTCAAAAACTCAATAATAACCTCGTATAACCCAACATCAGACGTTCCGTCATCCATGGAACTTAACGACCTGTACCGCACTCCAACCTATCTCTCCCAGTCGGGAGGTTTATCGTTTCCGCTGAAATCAATACTTTACTGGATAAGTCAAGTAATACTGATCAGATGACAAGCACCACGCTTTATTCAATGTAAGATGTCCTGACGTCATTTCAAGGGGTTATACTACCAATTTTAGATGTTCGGTTACTATATGTACACAATCTTGTAAAGTAAAATTGCTAGCCTTTGACGTAAGGTACTTCGAGAACTGACGAATACGAGGAGGGTCGAACTCAACATCCTTCTGGCATTTCTAATTGCCTATGGCGAGTTGCGTATTCAGATTGACTCTGTGAATGCAACAGTGTCCCGCCTTGCACGTTGATCAAAAGCCAAACCGTCAGTTGAGCCCACCAGGTTCTTCAAAGGCTCGTTATTGCCATGTGTGAGATGCGGTTTATGTAGTAATAGGACGTCCTTAATGAGAGCAGTGGTGACCAAGTGGTTAGATCACCGACGTGTGACCTAGGAGACGCAGATTCGAACCGCTCCGCCTCCGCCCGTCTTCTTTCTGTATCTTCCCAGGCAGCCTTTGTTTGACCGCGGACCCCCTTCCTGAATGTTGACAGTACATTTGTATATTCAATAAATAAAAAAGGAAGTAAAAATATATTTAATCATTTTTTAATGCCGGAACTTATTTATGTCAAAAGGATCCGGAAAAGCTTTCCAGAATGTCCCATAAACATAGGCGAAACTAGTAGTTAAGGGACATCACTGCTTAGCTATGTAAAGTTCGTGCAAGCTGTTTGATCCTCGTGGTTCCGAGTGCAAACCGACATAACTCAATTGCTCTTTTATCGACCTGAACACAATGAAAATTGGAAGAAACTGCGCGGTAGAATTTCTCGATCTGAATGCAGACTTTTTTAAAGCCAACTGAACAAGTCTTCTCTAATGATAGTTGTACTCGCATTCCATAACCTGAACAACAAATCGATGTTTAATTATTTTTTCAGCTGAACTACAAATGGCTTTATAATCATTCACATCCCATCATCGTTGTAGTCGAACCCCTTAGCCGAGCAGGGTATTATTTTACCTCTAATGGAAGCTGATCGCTATCACTCAAAAGATTGTTTCTACATACATTTCCTACCATCCCCACCAACGTCACCGCCATCAACAAGAACTACTACTGCTAATAATATAATTACCACTAATGTTAGTAGTAATCATATTAACGGTCTGTACTATATGACTGATTCGCTTGCGACTTACTTCCCATTTGTTTCCCTTCATCTCCACAATTTGATTTGATCCCGGGTGAAACTTGCCTGGTCGAAAACAGTGCTGGTCGAAATTACCAAACCCGTGATTCCAACACGCCGGTACAGAGAAGACTTTGAAGATATACAAAGTGAAGGTGGACAGTAAGTCTCGTCCTGATGTTCATTCGCGATGTTCGTTTGTATTCGGGCATAACTGTTTGCATTTGAAGGGACTCTCAAAGAATCTATCTACTCTTTGATATCTACCGATTACTTCATTGGTGCATAATTTGGTGAGGTTAACGAATATGTAATGTCAGTCGCGGTGGTTTGTATTTATTATCAGTAATTATTTCCTAACGATCTAGAATCTCAACTTTTACGGTTTGTGTTGCTTTGGTTACAACTTGATTTTCACAAAATCGTTACCTGATGCTTTCAATCACAGATCGATTCGCACAGTGTTTTATCCGTCACAATTGACAGTGACTGTGACGCAAATGCTTTGGTTGACTATCAGTTCTGATGCTCAGACTTTATCGATCTGATGGTTAGTTATGCGGGCATTCAGCCTTTAGACAACACTTGATCAGAGACCTTATCCAGAACTAGTCTGAACCCATGTGAACTAGTGCGAACGCAAAAATGAGTATGAATTTGTGGTACAAAGGAGAACCTAGTAATGACCTAAATAAATCTATCCAAAATTTGTCCTTATCCAAGGGTTAACAACTAGGTGAGATGCTGAAAACCCCAAAATAATAGACCTAACCGCACTGCTAATACTGTACACAAGAATGAGAAATTCCCAACGACGATACAACTTCCGTTGAGCGTGCCCTCCGGATAGAGAACAGTGTATTTTCTTCTATGTATATGATGCACACGAGGAACCTGATTTAATAGCTTNAATAGCTTAGTTATATGATTCATTGCAAAGTGTCGTCTGATTTTTACAATTTACACAAACAATCTGATTGGCTTAATTATGAACGCATTCGGGTAGCCGGATGAGCATTGCTGAGGTTAGGGGCAGAGTTTTGGGTAAATACGGTCGCCCACTGGAGCAAGTGGTCAACCTCCATAGATTACGTTGGCTGGGACATGTGTTACGCACGTCACCAGGTAGGTTACCACGGCGAGCGATGTTCGCCGAAGCAGATACCGTATGGAAAAGAGCCAGGGGTGGTCAAGCAAACCCTAACCAGGAGACTAGGTCACATAGGCCCCGTTAGGCTCCCTGGCTGGGGACCTCACCAGGAAACTGGGTCACATAGGTCTTGTTAGGCTCCCTGGCTGGGGACCTCGGGATGATGGTCCGAAGAAGATACAGAGTAGAAAAAGCCAAGGGTGGTCAAGTTAAGACCTGGCACGAGGGTATGAAAACCCTAAGCAGGTAAAGCCAAGGGTGGTCAAGCTAAGACCTGGCACGAGGGTATGAAAACCCTAACCAGGAGGCTAGGTCACATACGCCCTGTTAGGCTCCCTGGCTGGGGACCTCGGGATGATCGTAATCGATGGTTAGAGACACTGAGCAGGCTCCCTGGCTGGGGACCTCGGGATGATCGTTGATGGTTAGAGACACTGAGCGATATGGCTGGGTGTCGTAAACAGTGGCGTTCGTACATCTCCTCAATTTCTTTGCAGAATTAGACCACTGCACTTCTTCATTTGATGTTCTACTTCACTTCCAAGTTTTCTTTCTGCTCCTATTCTTCATCCAAATGAGCAGCCAAAAGACAGCAACCAAAACCGGCGCTCGAATATGCGTGGTTAATGGTTATTCAAACTGAAAAAACTGAGTTATGAACGCACGTATTTTCAGATTCATCCCCATTAGGCGGTGTGCTGAAAAATACATACTATGCTAATTTGACAAAACCCGTCAAATTCATCGATATCCCAATTTTGAAGCCGCCGTAGGATTGAAGCTTAGGATCAAAACAAACCGATGGTTCCGAGATAACAATGGTTGGTCGTGGCGCAGTGGTTTAGTTGCTGCCGAGGTTCGAGCCCCGCCGACACCACCCAAATTTGGTGGTGGGCAGCTTTGCTGTCGTCCGCTTCAATACCATGCATGACCTATTGGGGCTTTTGTGCTTCGCCACTCCAAGTTCCGGGGCTTATGTTACCGGTTCACATCAATGAACGGTAGGTCCTCATAAGCGCTTTATTTCACAATAAAGTGTGCAATAAAAGAACGTGGTGACTCATAAAATACGGCACAAATTTATAAATGGAACACAAAGAAACCAAAACCATGTTTGACCACAATCAATCGTATTCTTGTCCAGCGGGTATATACCATAACTCTAGCGCATCACCAGCGTTCCTATTTTTTACATAACTGGAAATATCTCAGGTAGTATCATGGTCACTCATTTAGAAGAAAATGAGTTAGATGGTTGTTGGATCACACTTTTCACGACAATACTGTTATTGAATGTCACAATAAATATTAACTATAAATAGGAGTTTTTACATTATAATCGGTTGCCACTGAAACCTTTGATCACTCCACATATGAATCTAAGATCAGTCGTGAATGGCGTGGGTGAGGGCAAGAGGGGATTGTATAGGGATAATCATGAGATACGATTTCTTTAGACGAAATTCGCTTAGTTGTATACTCGCAAATTAAGTCTAGACGAGAACATCTGAGCACTACCAGTAAGTGACGTTTGCCATATGGAGTGAACCGGTATAAACGACAATTCAGAGTATCAGTAGAAGCGGTCAATCAACCCAAGCCCTTGTTGAATCATTGACCTGATAGTGATAGAACCAATGAAGTGATCTTCAGTATTAAGCTTGTTCACCACTGGGAAAAGGTCGTGATCATTTGGAAAAGCAACCGTTCCCATAAGATGAGATAATTTGTGGAGCTGCGCATTTAGCAGCAGTCCCGATCAAGGAGAATGCGACAAAACGAAGTAATCACAACTTGTTGGCATCTGTCAAAGACCGACGTACTGGCTTCAATGGTGTAAGTATTTTTGTACACTGCTGTGTTACTCATGAGTAAGTAATGGCAAATCGCCGTTATTTATTCTTTCTTTTAACGTAGATTAGAACGATCGTTTATGTGAGAAAAATACATCTGACATGTTTAAACATTTTCCCTGCTTATTGAGGATGGTCAGAATAAAATGTGGTCCGAGTTCTTTGTTGTTCAACCTCTTCTTCTCGTCTGCAGGTTGTGCTTTGCAACGGTTCCCCATGTTGCAGCCCGAAGACAAGAATTGTCAGCCGATCAGGGCGAAATGTTTGAGGTGAGTTTGGCGATTGGTGCAATATCACTTACAGAGGCGTTTTCCCAACTACGCTTGATTATTTTCCAAATGCAAAACTATTCCATTTGCCCACAAATTCTTCTTAGTTTAAACTATTCCTGAATTCGAATGTGGCTCTATCCAAAAATGTTAGATCGGGAACGATTGATTTGAAGAATGACATCGAGGTATGCAACATAGTTCTCATTCGTGGTGGTCTAGTTGTTGGAAACAGGGTAGAGTACATTATCAGTTTATTGTTATACGTCACACTTCTCTAATCAAGCAATATCAGTAATATTCAGATTAAGGGAGAGTACAGTCTACCGCGTAGGCGTTCCTCTGAACGAAGTCCACATTCATATATATGAAACGATCCCGTCCGTTCCAGCTACTTCTATCGAACGGTCACCCTTAGAAGTTTCGTCAAATTGTCTTAGGGGAAGAAGAGAAGACAAAGATGCTGATACTATCATACAAACGCGAGTTGTCAGTCGCCCTCAGTCACATCCATCACTCCTCGGGTGTCAATTTTACCAACTAACCTAAGATAAAAAAAATTTGAACAATTTTATTCATTTGCAAGAATCACGTAGACGGATACAACCAAGCAGGGGTACTGTGTAGAACTCCGTGTTCAAAATTTGACCAAGATTACGTAGGAGTGAAGCGTTTAATTGCTTGCTCTCTAAAGAAAACACACTGATCTGAGGTCACACATTTGAAATTATGTAAATCTTCATATACGGCATTCTTATAACATTCAGACGTATTAAATGTGTAGGCAGCTGACTTTAAGCTGGCGAAATCGATGAAAAATATCAATTTTTTACCATTTTTTCTAGTCTTAGTTGAATTGATTAAAGGAAAAGGTGTTTCATCACGGCGAGGAAGAACCACATTTCAGCAGGATAACATAAATTCAGTTATTTCGGATACTCTCAATCAGGATTTCCGAACATATCCCGAATAATCTAGCGCTGAAAGGAAATAAAGATTTTAAAATCTCTATTGCTCGCCACATATTAGACTGCAACTTGTGTGTGGAGCCTAGCAAGTCCTTTAGGATCATAAGTAGACAAAAAAATCATCGTTTACTTCAGTTTGATGAAGCCTCCGCCATTCGACGGCTTAAACCCAATTTGTGTAAACAATTAGACTTTGTGCCCTGCCCTGCTAGGAGTGAACCCCGTCATGTGTTCACTCGCCGTGGTTGACTGTGTGACCTTTGCCCCTGTCCCGTGTTTCGCCCAATTGGTGTGTTCATTTGTCCCATAATCTATCATGTCTTTGTTGTTGTTTAACCTTGGTTGTCGTTGTACGTATGCAGCTGATTTAGAGTACCCGAAATAACTGAATTCATGTTATCCTGCTGAAATGTGGTTCTTCCTCGCCGTGATGAAATTCGTTAAGGGAACTGGATGTATGAAAAGGTTTTTCCCCGCAATTTGGAATCATTACATAAACTCGTGGGACAAAACCGAAGTTAAGTACACAAAGTAGTGGCGAGTGCAAAGACGCTCTCCATTTGATCAAATCGTAGAGTCTGTAAGTCTCAATCGACAAACGTTACATAACGATTACACTACTAATGAGTAACGCTGGATAGTAGGACCAACAGCTGTATAACAAACCACGCCGAGGCACAAGCAATCCCAGTTTATTCACATACAAACTACTATATGACAACGAGTTCTGGTTCGGAGTGAATTGGTGGAATAACCAATATCACTGGGGGTTCACGTTTTTCCCTTTTTAATATATATATTTCATAATCAGTAGTATGTGAATGACTGGACAAAATTTCGCTGGAAGCACACGACCGGTTTTGCGGTTCTTGCCGCTCTTCAGGCATGCGTATCCGGTAATCTTTTGTCAGTTCATTCATATACTTGTACCCAGGAAGTGTATTTTCATCACAATAACCTTGTTTGCAACACCGGGTAACCATTGGATAGACAGCTCTTTCAGAGCTAGTCCAATGAAGAATCAATGCTATGATTCGATGTTTTGTAAGTGGGTTCGATGCTATTAACCGCAACAAACGTATATATATACTTATCGACATGACATTCAAAATACTTAAAAAAGTACCACGAGCAACAAACGTTAAACCCAGCAGAAACGGCCGGTTCTGACGAACGGCGTTTGGACGAACTAAGCCATATGATGGAGTTTGGACGTAAAAATGTCTGTTCTGGATTGAATTTTCGTTATAGCTTACAATAAAGTTGAACGTATTCCATGAAAGTAATTTTGTATCAAGACACCGGATCTAAGTCCTTACTTCTGTTGATCACAAGTGTGAATGATTAAAATACTCTACCGGCATTCTATTAAACCCCTGGTTCAATTTTCAGCTCCTGAATGACTCCCTGCCCAACTGGTGGCAAGTTCGTAATCACCGGGGTCAAGCTGGCTTATTACCTGCTTGGAAGCTACGACCGGTTCAGTTGACACCGGATCTAATTGACCTACGTCTGCCCGGAACAATTCGTCCCAGTTCTTCCAAATACGGGACACTCACTTCTCCGGATCGTCGCTATCGCGAGTCGATGGCGAGCATGTTTTCTTATCGCGACCGAGGGCGTCCCCAATCCTTCGGTCCAATGAATCGAATTAGTGTACATGATCTGGATTCCGAAGCCGTGAACGATGTCCAACCGGTAGTTGTCTATGTGCCGACGGAATCACTGGAAGAGAACAAACCAATGCCCGTACTTCTCCTACCCTTCTGCAATCGACCACACTCACGCACCTCCACTCTTCCATTATCACCCCGATCCATGCATACTAACGAGCCATCGCATTATGCCGAATCAGTGTTTGGTCCGGCTGCATCCACCCTATCGCGAGATCATCTGTTCTGCTGGCATCCTCACGTTGCGAACGCCTACAAACCGACAATCATGTTAGACAGAAAAAGCTCTTTTATTGCCGGAAAAGTGTGAATGAGTTTGATTGATCAGAAAAGACCGTCAAATACTTTTCGATTTTCTTCATACATGAATGTATGTATGTATATCTTATAATTTTTATTGCTAGGAAAAAACTGATCAAAGCTCACCAACTACTTCCAATCTATCACGCCTTCAATTTATTTTGAATGATTCTTTACCCATTCCAAACTTAATTTATGTTTCCGCATTGAAAATGTATCTCAAACCTGTTTCACAGTGCGGAATGTTTGACTGCAGTTGATTTAAAATTTTCATTCTAGTTTCGTCCAATTTTATTTTTCATTCGAACTGCTGAAGATTGATTGACCTGGATCAGGAAGAAAAACAATTCGTTCATTTATTGATTTATTTTGCGTTATTTCTTTCTTTTTAATTCACGTCCTCTGTCCAGCTCCCAGGGTCCACCCACATCATTCTTCTGTGCTACAACTAACCTCTTTAGAAATGTTATTCTTTTATAACAAATAATTTTCCGTATCGTTTCGCATCTGTTTCTTCAAGCCGTTTGATATTTGCTGGGTTTTTAGGTCAAAAAACATGAATAATAAAGAAGTGGTGAATTTTGATCAGACTGTGCGATTAAATGAAATGCATGAATCAAAATAATCCATTTGGCGTTAAGGTTAGGTATTTAAACTCATCACCACCGTTGAACTTGCTCCCTTCCTCTTGTAACNTCCCTTCCTCTTGTAACTTAGCAGGTAGCCTTGGTTCATAACAACTCGAGGTCGTCCCGGGGGAGAATTCACTTCGAAAGGGCGATACAAAAGAGGCAGGTCACTCTCAAAATGTAGTCTGTTGCGTAAATGTGGTGAGCTGTTTAACAGATACTGACTGAATTCTCTTAATTAATTAATTTCTAGAGCAGCATTAAAAGTTCAAATGCAAAGTGGCAGTTGATTAAGTCAATCTTCCCGCTTTATGATTACGCAGACAGCAGCTTCGCATGATAATTCGGATTGGCAAAAGGCTTAATAACACTTCGAAACTCTTAACTCTCATAGAAGAAAGGATGAAAAACTCGCCTATTGCACACTAAATTGCTTGCAATTACCGGTGCTATTACTGGGCGCGACTGACTTATTAACGACCTTTTGATATATGTTGCGCGCTTTTGAAAGCCCAATGTATGGACAACATGCAGTCGTGAAATTGAATTGTTTTCGGTGATTCATCAACTGGCTAATACATCACATTTTATGCAACAGCCCTTTACATGGAAAAGAGGAAACTGTTGTGTACTGATTGTTGCTGAGACTGCTATCGCACCACCAACTTCCGAACCGAAGAAGAGAATACAGTCGAAATGGAACAGAACAGTATATTAGAAAACAAAGCGCGTATTCTTTTTTCTTTTACAGATTAGCACTCGTTTTATTTACCGCGTCCGGTGCGTTCTGAACGTTCGGCATAAATAGAACAATCAGAGTTGTCGGACCGCCCGGTTGACTACGCTTCCTAACCAATCAGAAACGTCGATCCGTCCTGTCGATTATTTCGGTCCGGAGGCTCACCCAGTTGTGGCTATTTTTCTTTTCGCTATTCTCACCAAAAGTATGATTTTTCGACCGGATATTTTTGGAATTTAACCTTTCTGACAAAAAACAAGAATGAATACCCTGTGGAACAACGTATTTCGGCCGCACGAAAAGGAAGAAAAGACGCCTATCTACAAGAGTTCGGGAACATCATCCGGCAGGGATGTAATTGAAACTATTACCAGTGCAATCGTTTCACACCTCGTCAAATCCGATCGCACAGTGACCGTGAATGAAGTAGTTCGAACTCTCTATCGTATTTGGGGACGCCGATCCAAGCCTTCTCATCGCGCAGACAATGGGAACTTCGTCTTCATAATCCTCCTTGTGCACCCAATAAACAATTTCTGAAGTCAATTAACCCCCATGGCCCTCGTCCTCCCCATTCCCGCCCAAATCACCAAAGCAACACGGACTAATCATAAGATCAGCTATATCTGGTTTGTGAAACTGGGACAGAGAACAACAAGAACAAAAAATCTCTATTGGAATATTCAGGTGTTTTATTTCCTCTTTTTTATACAAAATATACATCCATCCATACATCCATACATCCATCCATCCATCCATACATACATACATACATACATACATATACACCTATAAAATATATACATAAAAATAGCCAGCTGATGGGTCACCGAAAATAAGCTTGTTCGCTAACGTCAGTTTTTATTCAATATGTGCCGCTGGTATATTCCAAAAATTGAATTTTGATTATTCTCTTCCATCTGTAATGAATCGTTTTTCCACAAAGCATAATGACATAAATTTTCATTTAACGATCGGTGGATGAGTAACCGAAGACAAGCTTGTTTACTATGGTGTGTTTTCTAGAAAGGTTTAATAGTAGCATTTTCAGACAATCTTGCAAATGTCGGCGACTTCCACAGCAAAAATTACGTGAATATTTGCATATTTGTAGCACACTGTAAAGTGAAAGGTGATGGTTTTGTGTTATTTATTCCAAGAGTCAACCTGCTGCTTTAACTGTCACGGGGAGTCCAGGGATGCCGAAGAACCGGCGTCAGAGTGGTTGAAGATAAACTTCAGCCAAGTCGATAACTGAATAATCCAATAGATCGATCCATTCATCCAATAAAACCATTTGGCGTTAGAAAGAGATTAGCGGTCGTGCCGCTCACGTGACATGACGAGTTAGGCTAGTGGAACGCTTGTCTGAATAGCACTCATAGAGCATGTATTTTGTGAATGCATGACAGAACGCCCACAACTTGGAATTGAATAGAATAGAACAGTTGGCGAAGAGGATGAGATTTATTTGGACTTCTCGAAAGCACTCCATCGGTTAAACCACTAAATACTGTTGCGGAAGCTATTCTATTACGTCACGCGAGGTTTCGTGCTTGATTGAATTAAATTATTTCTCCGACAACAGACTATATCAGCTCGTGTTTCTGATTCCCTGTCCGGTTTTGTCAACGCTGCTCGCGATGTTCCACAAGGTTCTGCACTTAGTCCCCGACCATTCCTTGATAAACGATCTACCGAATGCTTAAGGGCCAAAATAAATACTGTTCGCAGAGGCCGCCAAAATCTGTAACACAGTGACAGCCTGAAGGCTCGCTATCACTTCAACTAACACTTAAAACAGCTTATCAGTGGTCAATGTATAACCACACTGAATTCAATGTTTCTAAGTGCAAAGCTGTATCCTTAGCCACTGTAGTAGATACGTAATACGCCATCTAAGCCTGGGGGCCATGGCTACAACGTGATCGTATGATGCTGGAGCGTCCATAAAGGATTGCCCTCATGATGGTCAAGCGATTGAATTGCTTCACCTACGGGGAGAGATTGCGACCACCAAGACCACATTTGACCCTGCACCGCCGAATTCGATGAGACTTGATTTTGGTGCATTAAACCAACCGAAACCATTCATGTCACCCGCTGCTCACTTTTTCACCCACTATCCACCTTAGGGGACAACATTTCAAGTTAAGGATTCCAAAGTGTCGACTGGAATGCCAGCGCCAATCTTTTGCAGATAGAATGTGCACCACTTGGAAAGCCCTTCCATCTCACGCTGTATGTGCACCAACTGTTGAATCTTTCAAGTGGTGACTTGATGAAACCTTTGCAAACCTCACATTCCTGCACAACTGAAAACGCAAATTAATTAAGGACTACAATATGCGTTATCTCCCACCCGGAACTATATTTATCATTTTTTTCTTGCTGAGAAACGATCCACTGGTGTAAACAACCTATGGGAACAAGAGAAGCATGAGCTTATAAGTAATTTAGCAACGGCAGTGGTAGTCTGAAAGTAGATCTGATCAATGCATGGGAAGCGTGCGATACCGAGCACCGGGAATTGTGCCAGTGCGGTCTTTTCGAGCTCATTAAAAGCACAATAAGCGTTAAATCAAAACCTATTTCTAGAAATGTCCAAGTTGTTATATCTAATGAAGAAACATTTCCTAGAAGATCACTACCGCCAAAAAATGGCGAAACGTGCTAAATCTCGATGGTACACTTGGTTGTGCTTCCTTAACCGATTGTGCCCGGTGGAGAAGAAGGGTCCTTATGTTATAGGGAAAAGAATAACTTTGGTCTAGCTTTTGGAATAATTCTAACAGATCGCTACTGGATATCTGAACCTTGATGGCTCTAATTAGTATGCCATGGTTATGTACCGATGTCCTGATAGTCCTCAATTACACAGGACTGGTTGGAAACTGAACCTGTCCTGCTGCTAGTCACACCAACGTAGAGTGAAGGTGTTTCTGGTCCGTGGTTTGACGGTCACGTCAAGCATGAATGGTTCTACCAGGAAATTTAAAGAAAAGCCAGAGGCAATAAAAGGAAACTGACGTTGCGAAACTGTCGGTTGAAGAATCGCTACACCTGCAGTGGATCTTGAAATTAAGTTAGTACAACCATTTGTAAAACAGTCCTCGAAAAGAAAATTACTGTAACGTAAAGCATTAGTCAGAGCTTCTAAAACTAATATTTCGTTTGCAATTACTCGGTCACTTTTTACGTCTTTCCTGTACAGATCTCGTGACTTTATGTTTCATTCCTTCATGGAGCCTAAGTTAACACTGTTGTACTGTTATCCTTTAGGCAATGATCCAAGCGTATGCATTTGCATACAGTTCACCAGTAATAATATTATAAATCTTTTAGTAACAATTTTATTTGCTACTCAACAAATATGCTTCCAGGTTTTCTGTTTTCTGCTGTGCTGAATCAAGCAGTTCAAGGAACAGTGATGGCATTGCCTGTGGGACACCACATCTGTCTTGACCTGATCTTTCCTTATAACTTTTGATCAGTGAAGATTGAGGATTCTAGTTTTTAACGGCAAAAAATTCCCTCTCGATAAATATTCTAAAATGTAAAACTCTCACTTCGATCGCAGTCTGATTTATCGTTATTAGTATACATGTATCAAGTGAAATGCGGATATTTCCCCAGAACCAA